TGGGGCGGCTCCTCCCCCACCACCAATCAATCAATCAATCAATCAATCAATCAATCAATCAAACCCCTTTTTTTTTTTTTTTTTTTTTTGCATCTGCATTTTTTCAAAACACCTCATACTTTTGCAAAAAAACATAAATTCATTTCTAAAAAAATACAGGTAAACTCACGGACCATATATCTCATGATAAAAAATGACCAAAAAAAAATCCTGCTTTTCTTTATAGATTTTTTTTAATTTTGTTTAAATCGATTTTAGTTTTGATTTTTTTTAAATCTTAAACAAAGTCGGATTCCAAAAAACAAAATATAGGAGTGTAGGGGTTTTCTAGCCCTACACGCCCATTTTTTTTATTTATTTTTTTCATGCATTAGAAAAAAAAATAAAAATCTTGCACCGAAGTCGGCTGGTCGGCCTAGGCCGAACCCGGCCGATTCGGCCATCGGCCTAGGCCGCGGCCGACTTGGAACCCCCGGCCGCGGCCGGGCGTGCAACATAGCTCATGGGCAGAAAAGTTGAAAGGGCCTTATCAAGGCAGATCCTTGCAAGTGCAAAGAAAAGACCCTCAGGGCCGACACCCTCCACCTCCCGATGTCCAACATCTCTACGGCACGAGCGTTTTTCCTCTCTCAATTTTTGACACCTTCAGAACAAAGAGTAGTGGAAAGTGGAGGGAAAAAGTTGCAGATAAAATGCTATCCAGCGCAAAAACTACCAGAAAGAGATGCAATCTACCGGAAACACGCGAACAATTGGGTATTCCATGATGATGCAGCCTATAAATCCACCAATGACAAAATCAAGTGGATAGGCACACGGCTGGCATCAATGAAGGGCTGCCCAGCGGCAGCTCAAGAAGGCTTCCTGATCCAGCCGGTTCCGGCCACCATCTTCACAATCTTGTGCCTCCATGAATCAGACAAACTAGCCATTGACAGCTGGAGGAAACTCAGATGTGATAGATCGGAGGTGTGAATCTACTCATGGACACCCCAGAAACAGGGGCCGGAAGAAAGACGGGCGCACATGATGGAAGCGCACTACTGGGTCGAATTCAGACACATACCTATAGAGATCTAGGCAGCATTCATCCAGGATCTCGAGGAACAATTCGACATTGTGGACTTTATCGACCCCCTCCCATCCTATGTAGCCAGAAGGGACGACGACTTGATGATGGCCCTTGACTTCCCACCTTCCCAACCGTTCACTGTGGGGGAGGGACGCGAGACCAGACAGCCTCATCAAATGCTACTTAAGGGCTGGTCTTCAAGAGGTCGACATTTGGTCTTTCAGTCTTGCTATGCTGCTTGAACGTTGGCTCGACTCTGACTGGTCGCTGGCATTGATGCTGGCACGACGCTGGTGAGACGCTGGCACGACGCTGGCGAGACGCTGGCTTAACGCTGGCTGTGCGCAGGCACTGTGGGCGACGACACGGGCTGTGACAGCATGCTGGCGCTTTCTGTGTTGTGCGCCAGGCATTCCTGATGTGACGCTGCCACCTGTCTTCAAGGCTGATGAGGTGCAGGCCACTTGTCTACATTGCTGATGTGGCGCAGACCACTTGTCTACATTGCTGATGTGGTGCTGCCACCTGTCTACATTGCGATGTTGATGTGGCGCTGCCACCCATCTACGTTGCATTGCTGATGTGGCGCTGCCACCTGTCTTCATTGATGATGTGGCGCATGCCGCCTGTTTCTGCTGACGAGGCATTGGCCGTGCTGTCTACATGAGGTGACTGGTTGCGATGAGGAGGAAGATCGGGATCTGTGGATGATTGGGAAACGGGATACTTACCTGAGGCCGAGGTTGATATTGTTCGCTACTGGCTGTCTTCATTGTCTCTATGAGAGAGTGGTGCCACGTGGCACTTCTGTGTTATTGGGACTTACCAGACTTGTTACTATTATTTGATTGATGGCGTGGAGGGAGAGGAAGCCCGGAGAAGAAGTGGGATTGGTTGGGTTGCTATTGTGTGATCTTTGACTACTTCTTCCACCTTCTCCCTTGTCTATCCTCCCTCCACTCTCTTCGTCTATTGGTAACGAGATACTGTTGCAGATATCATTTTCACGTTAACTGGAGACTTTGTACAGATCTGAGACTACTGGAACTTTGACGTCTGATGAGTATCTTCCTGACTGGGTTCATTACAGAGACACGAACGAACCGACAGAACGATGAATAAACAGACCGGTAAAGAGAAAGACGGGACGACAAACAGACAGACAGGCAGCAGGCAGGCAGACAGAGATAGTTGGGTGAAAGAGTCTCAACGTCGTTCCAGCAGGTGTAGCTCCCCACCAATAGACTGGAGCCCCCTGCAAGACAGGGGTAGGAGTGCAGGCTTTTATCATCACTCCTATGTGTTATCACGGGTGGAAATTTTTCTGTTATAAAAAAAAAAAGAACTTTCAGGCACTTGAGGTGTATTATCTTCAGCCCAAAGCTGAACAGAGGTGCAGATTTAAACCACCAGGACTTCCGACTGGTGTCAAAGTTTTGACTGAACCCCCTGCAGTAAAGGCCTCAAGAGAGGATCAGATCAGGATCCGTCTAGAAATGGTGAAGTACATTGATAATTTGACAGGCTTTTTTACTGAGTGGGGATCCGGACCGCCCGGGTGACTGGCAGGGGCCAAGGGGAGGTCCTGGGCAGCCTGGCCGGGCAGGGCACCCGGTTGGGGGCCAGGCCTCCCCAGCGCACTCACCTGTAGGGGGGTTTCAGACACCCTTTTGGCTGGTGTGTGTGTGTTTGTGTTTGTGTCTGTGAGTGTGTTGTGTGTGTGTTTGTGTGTGTGTGTGTGTGTGTGTGTGTGTGTGTGTGTGTGTGTGTGTGTGTGTGTG